TTTGTAAATAGACCCCAAAACCCCAAAACCCCATGTTGCTGACTTAATGATTATACTATGTTGTTGATTCTATATATTAAATATCATGGAAAGTAAATAGCAAAATCGCGCAAAGGGTGGACAAACCGATAAAGTGTACAAAAAGAAGAGTAACTATCCAAGACCATCCCAAGAAGAAGGTTTCACAGGTGCTCCAGAGAGCTGGTTTGATGGTAATAAACCAATTGATTTGACATTTGAATAGAATAGGAATATATTGAGCAAATGAGTGGACTGATTTCAGAGAAAGACCCAGGTCACGACTACTATTTTGGTAGCTACTCTCACTTCTATATTCATGAGGAGATGCTTAAGGATAAGGAAAGAACTCTAGCATACAAGAGAGCCATTGAGAGAAACTATAACGACTTCAAGGGAAAGATTGTGATGGATATTGGCGCAGGTACAGGTATATTGAGTATATTTGCAGCTAGAGCTGGTGCAGCTCATGTGTACGCTATTGAGAATGCTGAGATTGCACATTACGCTAAGGAAATCATCAAGAGAAACGGGCTAGCAGATAAGATCACAGTTTTAAAGGGAAAGATGGAGGAACTCACTATTCCAGTGCCAAAGGTAGATATTATCATCTCAGAATGGATGGGATACTTCCTGCTTTACGAGAGCATGCTAGACACTGTTCTATGGGCTAGAGACAAATACCTTGTTGAAGGAGGAAAGATGCTTCCAGACAGAGCAAAGATCTACTTAGCAGCAATTGAGGATGGCCAGTACAAGCACTCAAAGACAACCTTCTGGGACGATGTTTACGGAGTTGATATGTCTTGCATGGCAACATAATGCATCAAGGAACCATTGATTGATACTTGCAATGGAGATATGATTATTTCAGATTCATGCAAGATTCTTGATCTTGATTTAGTGAAGATGGATAAAGGCGATGTTGAATTCACCTCAGAATACGAATTAAAGTTCATTCACAGTGATAAATGTCACGCCTTAGTTGCTTGGTTCGATACTGACTTCGCTGATCTAGAAAAGCCAATTACTCTAACTACATCCCCCTACTGCACCCCTACTCATTGGAAATAAGTCGTATTCTATCTAGACAATGAACTCACAGTAAAGAAGGGTGACGTCTTAAAGGGATCTATTGCTGTTAGAAAGAGTAAGGTTAACTTCAGAGAGCTAGATATTAAGATAAGCTATCATTTCGATTCTCCCCAATGCACTGAGCATTTTGTTCAATTGTACAAAATTAAGTGATCTTACTGAGCTAAGCTAGTATTAATTAAGCATCTAATATATTTCTATATATTTCAATATCTCTTTTTTATTAAGATGACATACATTTATTACAATGGGGTTTTGGGGTTTTGGGGTTTTGGGGTTTTGGGG